GAATCTTTGTAGTAACATTATTCATAATAGCCAAATGGCAAAAATTACCAAAGATGCATCAACAGATGAATCAACATTTGGTATATCCATCCATTGGAATGTTATTCAGCAGTTAAAAAAAAAAAAGAATGACATACATGCTACAATAGAGATGAACCTTGCAAACATTATGCTACTTAAAAGAATCCTGTCACAAATACCATATATTATATAATTCCATTCCGATGTTTAGAAAAGGCAAACTACAGAGAAAGAAAGATTAGAGGCTGCTTAGTCACAAAGGTGGAGAAATTCACATGAAGCTAACAGCTAAAGGCAGTTTTCTTTTTAAGGTGATGACAATGTTTAAAATTGACTATAATAACGTTTATTCATACCTGTGGATATAATACAAACCAAATAAATTGTACACTTTATTTTTTAATAATTTTTGTAGTTGTAGTTGGACATAGTACCTTTATTTTATTTATTTATTTTTATGTGGTGCCAAGGCTTGAACCCAGTGCTGGGCACGTGTTAGGTGAGTGCTCTACCACTGAGCCACAACCCCAGCCCTGAATGGTACACTTTAAATAGATTATATGATACATGATTTATGTAAGTAAAGCTACTGAAAATGTAATGAGATACTCACTCTTGAGTAACAACTCTGTACTGCAAACCTGAGAGTAAATGTCTGTTTGCATTTTGCACCTGGGTTCTTCACTTTACTGTAATCATGGTTGTGTTCTGTATCCATTCTTCCTTACACAAAGGTAACTACCTTTTTATTTGTTGATGTTGTATCTCCTTGCCTAAGAGGAGGTTATTTGTATTAGGGCTAAAAGTTGAGTTGCTTCAAGGTACTTCCTTTTCTGACACTCTCTTTCTCTTTTTAAATAAAGAACTCACTAATGTTTATGACAAGTATCTTTGTGAGCAACAAGAAAATACTTCTTTTAAAAGAGAAATCACAGAGTAGAATGATAAATTTCTTCACGATTTAGTCTTAAAATAGGAAGATGATATAGTCCTTGAGTTCTTCTTGGTGGCAGCCCTTCAAGGAATTGGCAGGATTTTGGAGGGGATGGCTGTATGGTAAACCTAGACAGAGGCTTTCAGATTCAGAGCCTCAATCAAGTTTCCTGGTGATTGCTTACGAATATTATGTAAGGAGAAAGCTGTCAGACTTGCAGTGTCAGTGACCAGTATGGACCTAGACAATGCAGATGTTAGCAGAAAACTTGATGAGCTAGGGCTGTACACTCTTGGTGTTTCCCCCTGTGCCATATAAAGCTGGAAGAGCCTTAAATAAAAATTTAATCTCTTGCTACCCTCACAGAATGAGGGCATCAAGTCTTAGAATTCAATTTTTAAAAACAATCAAGAAATGCATAATTGAGGTTTTTCTTTTATACTTTTTTATTAGAAAATAATTTTAAAGTTAGAAAAAAGAAAAAGATACAAAAAATACCTATATACTATACCCAGGTTCACCTATTGCTAACATTTCTCCCTATTTGCTTTATCATTTACTACTCATGTAATTCTATTATATAATAAATATAATAAATATTTATATATAAAAATATAAATCCATATATATATATATATATGGCATGTGATATTATTTTTCTGAACCATGAGGGGGTGAGTCCAAAATATTAAGTCCATTACATGTTTTTGGATCATATATTTCAACATATGATGTATTAATACCATTGCTATAGTTTGGGTCTTAAATGTTTCTCCAAATGGGTGCCTATTCTTGAAATATTGATCCTCACCCTGTCACACTATTGGGAGGGGATGGAATCCTTTTGAAATGGTAAAAGGAAGTTAGGTCATTGGAGATGTACCCTTGAAGGGGATCTTGTAAAAATGTAGATTCTGATTCAGTAGAACTGGTTTAAGGTCTGAAATTCTGTATTTTGTAATAAACTTCCAGAGGATGCCAATACATTAGTCACACTTTGAGCTGCAAGATTACGGCCACCTCACAGTCCATAGATAATTTTATATAGGTACTTAAGCCCTGGTTTCTTCCTATCTCTCTTATTTCCAGGCCACCATTCTCAGAAGCTTTGCTTTACCAGTGCTTCCTGCCCTGATATGCTGCCTCATCCTAGGCCCCAAAATAATGGGGCCAACCAACCATGGACTGAAGCCTCTGAAACTATGAATCAAAATAAGCCTTTCCTCTTATAAAGTTTTTTTCTATCTGAGGTATTTTGTCAGAGTAACAGAACGCTAACACAATATATAATATCATAACTATATATGATAATGTTATATGTATTACATACTTATTAATTATACAATCATGCATTATATAACAATGTTTGAATCAAAGGTAGATTGCACATACAATGGTAGTCTCTTAAGATTTCATCACACAGTGATGTTGTAGCCTTTGATTTTCACACAATGATGATATTGCCTAACAATGCATTCTTCAGAAGATATTTCTGTTCTGAGAACCAAGAGGAATATTCTCTTTCATAACCATAGTTAGGGTTGACAGACTTAGGAAATAAAAATACATGATGCCAAAGGCAAATTCCAACAGAAATGAAAGTTTCTGAACTTTTCCAGATTAGAGAAACTACTATACTCCCCCTTCTGGAAACACTTTGACATTGTTCCTAGATTTGATGAGTTTTGGGTTACCCATCAATGGCCTGGGTTACTTATCAATGCCTAAGCAGTAAGTTTAATCTGCTGGACAAGATTTCTGGTAACCAGTTAATGTCTGTAATGATCTTACTGATAAAAGTGAAGGTTAGCTGACTCTGGTATCAAATTAAAGCTTGTATTTCTCCTATTTTCTACATCTGCCCCACGTGATTCCATTTCTTAAATATTCTGTTGATCTGGTTGTATATTGCAGGACTGAATAAGAATTGTCTTATAAAAACTACTACTTCTAAAATTTAAATATAAATCATCATTGTATCTTGTAAAATTGTAAACTCTGATTCAGTAGAACTGGTTTAAGGTCTGAAATTCTGTATTTCTTAATAAACTCCCAGAAGATACCAATACAGTGGCCCTATCATTGCACTTTGAGCAGCAAGATTATGGCCACCTCATAATCAATAGATATTTTTATATAGGCACTTAGGCCCTATCCAAATACACTGAATCAGAATCTGTAGGGGCATTATCCATGAATATACAGTACATTTTAAACAATCTCCTAGGAAGATTTGAGAGATACTGGTCTTTGCATTTGAAATGCCCTCTGCCTTTTCCCTTGACTTGTTTATTTTCTGTTCCTGAAAGCTGAGTGCAATTTGATGCTTTTACTGGTCACCTCAAACTTAAATTACCAGTTGTTTGCAACAACTATTTGCTATTTATCATTAGCTATACTTTCTTGCATATATCCTATCTCTCTAGACAGATTTTACTTCTTGAAATAAACAATTATACACATTCTTGTAGCCTCAGATCCTAGCATACTTCTTAGTATTGAGTAAATTTTTAATATTTGTCATGGACAATAATCATGATGATGATGGAAGATCAATTTCTTTCCCAGACACATGGTTGTTTTCCAGGCTCTGTGTGATTAAAAGAACCTACTGACTCCATAAAAGAAACATTCAATTGCTTAGCAAAACTCCAACTCCCAACTATGGCACAACATTTTTTAGGAACTGGTACCACAATCCTTTTTGTGCTTTGGTAGTTTGGATTTTATTAAGGTAAACAGAAGTTTAAAGGAAAGGAAGTAATGCTTTGAATTTATTTTGTCTTTCATCTGAGAACCTCAAAACATTCTAAAACCACTTATTATGTTTCTTTGCAACTGTGCTGTAAATATTATTATACTCTCCTTAAAAAAAGCTGACTATGGAGAGTTGTAATATACTTGATCAAAATCATAGCTTTTGTAAGAAGGCCACACCAAGAAACTCGGGAACAGCTGGGCTGAACTTGACAGGTAACACAGCATTTTCTCAAGTTATATGACTTGACAAATGCACATTCAAGACCTCAAGTTATATGACTTGACAGGTGCACATTCCGTTGAAGATGAGAGGAAATCAAAGATTATTTCCATTCTGGAGAACAAATCCCCCACCCCCACCCCCATTCCCAGTGCCATTGCCCAGTGCTACCATGACTTACACATTGTTACACTGCGGTTAACAGCTTCCTTATCTATTTCCCAGTCATTTTCCCGCTTAACAACTTCCTTATCTATTTTGCAGTCATCTTGTTCTCCCTATCTCCGAGCCCATTGGGGCAGCTGAACAAAACACTGCTTCTTAGAAAATTCCTTTCACCTCTGTTTCCTCTTTGTGTGTACACGGGGATGGATCACGCCCACCTACCTCACAGGATGGCTGGAGGGGCAGAACGCGCCTCGATAAATGGATAAATGGACACTCGTTGCTGCCTTACTATGCCACTCCTTGTTTAACTTAACGCCACAAACCATAACAGGCACAGGGCATGTTGACAGGGCACAGACTCGAGGCAGAGTTTTTTCCTCTGCGGAAAGGGAGCGCGCGGGCTCCTGCGAGCTGTGTGGCGGTCTTCGCAGAGAGCCGTAAAGGAAAAAACTACCTCTCCCGTGAGGCCGCGCGGGGCAGCCCGCGCCGCCCCACCAGGCGCGTACCCCAGACAAACCTGGAAGCGGGTGTTGGGGGGGGACACCAGAAAGAAATCGCTGATGCGGGCTACTTCTGGGGGGGGGGCGCTTGACAGCACATAGAACAAAGGAAACGCATAGGACTGTGGGGATGGTAGCAAGGATAAGACTCCTGGCGAAAGGCAAGTTTGAAAATAGAGCTGTGCACCCTTTCCTCGCTACCCCAGCGGACCGTAAATTCGCGCGGCAGCGGAGACGTCGAGGACGCGCTCCGGGGCTCGCGCCTCTGCCTCGGGGACTCAAATCAGCGGGAGGGGGAAGGGGCGGGGCGGACGGCGCGGGGGCGGGGCCTGAGGCGGCGAGGGCGGCGGCGAGGGCGGCGGCGGCGGCGGCGGCGGCTGCGGCCACGACCCAGACATCTGGGACTGTTGTTGTTCTCTCGGCGCACGCCCGCCTCAGTCAGATCACCCAGAGACCCAGACCTGGTCCGCTGGGGCGCGGGCGGCGGTATCCGCCCTTTCTCTGGGTTCTCTGGAGCTACGACAGGAGGTGGCACTCACACGCTGCAGCTGGTCTCCGATGCCCTTCAGTGAGGAGGGGGAGTCCGGACCCTGGTGAGCACATCCAGGTTCCCAGTTGGGTGTCTTGGCCGGCCGCTCAGGCCCGCATATCTACGTCTCGCTGACATGGCTGAAAACGCAGAGGGAGACCTGAACTCCAACCTGCTCCACGCCCCCTACCGCACCGGCGACCCTCAGCTAGACACTGCTATCGCGCAGTGGCTTCGTTGGGACAAGGTAGGTACCTGCTCAACCGTTATCCAACCCCTCTTCCTGCACACCCTCCCACGCACAGTCCGCCCTTTCCAGTGCCATCCAGGGCTCCACAGGCTTCCGAGGAGATGGCCGGGGGAGCCAGGCGTTGCCACCCACTTAAGCTTGGGCTGCCTTCCTCGGGTGGTCTGGGCTGGTCGGAGGCATCGGCAGTCGCTTCCTTTTGCGGTGCGCTAAATTGCAAACCCCTCGTTCTCCTCCCTTCAGTGCGTGTCATCTCTCATTCTCAAAAATAATCATCATCGTAAGTTATATCCTTCACAGAGCTATTTCTTTCCTCGTTTCTCTCTTAACTTCCTTCTCTGCAAACCTGCAAGTGGTTTCAGGCATCCCTGGAGGTTTCCAACCTCTCTCCGCTTTAGTGCTGGTCTAGTGTGTTTCCATCTTCTGTCACTAGGTAGTCGCTGGTCTTTATACACTCCCTTGTATTCTATCGTATCACCTTTTGCTCTTGGGGAAAGAAAAGATTCTCTTAACTCTTATTTCTTTCCCTTGCTGGCCTTTGTTTTCTGGAAGTATCCTATTCAAATTTGGTGTTTTCTAGGTTTCATATGACATTCCTGATATGAAATTGTTTTTGGTTTACCCCCTCCTCTGCTCTCCCCCTCTTCTTGTACAGGCATATGGAATGGATTCATGAACGCAGAAATAAAAAATACAGCTGTCTAACTTGTAATAGAAGCTATTGGAGACTGTAAGGGAGGATGATAAATCAAGCTTTTGCTTTGTCAGGTGCATAAAAAAATACATTTGTTGAAGCAGAGAAGGCAACACATTTAAAATTGAATTAATAATACTGAATTAGGGGATTTGCATGGCAGTATGGGAAATCGTGTTGTACAAAAGAATTTCTAAAGGACAAGATTTCTGAAAAAAGTTTATTTTTACTTTGTTCAATCATTCATTCAGTAAAAACAAACAAACAAACAAACAAACAAAAACCCTGAGCATTTGAATCATCAAATCATCAAATTCAAGTTCTAGGCCCTATTAGGGCCAAGAAATACTAGTGGTGAGGAATATAGAAAGGCTTCCTGTCTTCAATAAGCTGTCAGTGGATAGGGATAACTAGCAGATAAGCTATTATGATGAGGTATTGGGCATTAAGTGGTCATGTGCATCTTGACCATTCTGATTTTTCTGGAGTCTAAACCAGTGCTTCTCAAATGTAAATTGCTTATAGATCATCTTCAAGGTCTTTAAATGCAGGTTCTGAATCAGAGATCAGGGGTGGAGTCTGTGAGGCTGCCTCAGAGTGAGCCACCAGGTAATACCAGTGATGCTGATTTGTGGACCACATTTGGAGTAGCAAGGCTTTGTCTTTTGGTACCTATTTTGACTATATTTTCCCTAATCAATGTCCTGATTAATTTTTAAAAGACTGGTTGAATGATTAACATTCATTAATTGCCCATGCTATGCCTAGATACTGTGGAGATATGTTGAAATATTTAAAAACTATAAATTGTACATAGTGGCAATTAAATGGTTTATAGATATCTAGTTTTCATAGAAATTCAAAAGTGGGAGTGATTTGTGGATTGGGATGGTCAAGGATACTTTATGAGAAGATAGAATACATATAAAAAGAACAAGGAATGCTTTCATTGAAAGTGGAATAGAAAGTCTTAATTTATTTGAAAGTGCCCTCTACATAAAAGGAACTGACTGAAAACCTATAGGAGATAGAAAGATTAGACAGACATGAATCAGACCTTCAGAGAATATAGAAGGAAAGATGAAACAAAGGCTAACAAATATAATGCAGGGAGCAAATAATAATTGCCCTTAGCAAGAATAGATTTAAATACTTTTATTAATTATTTAATAGAAATAATAAATATCTTCATGATTCATTTTTTTAATTTAAAATTTTTATAAATGTTCTTTGTTCACAAAATGGGAAAAAATTACAACAAACACAAACATACGTTTTCAGATATGGTACCTCCCATCACTTGGAAGCTATGGTGAAACCAAATGATAAACCAAATGATTCGTGATCCTGAAGAATCCAACCACATTATTATCTTTTTTTTAAGAGAGAGAGTGAGAGAGAGAGAGAGAGAAAGAGAGAGAATTTTTTAATATTTATTTTMTTTTCTTTTTTTAGTTTTCGGCCGACACAACATCTTTGTTTGTATGTGGTGCTGAGGATAGAACCCAGGCCTCACGCATGCCAGGCGAGCGAGATACCACTTGAGCCACATCCCCAGCCCAATATCTTTTGTTTCTTGAAACACCAAATTATTTTGGAAAAACTGCTGTGAATGAGATAGGAGGCCTCTTAACTTCTTTATATTCATATGAAATAATTCTTAAGAGTATCCATATAGTATTAGAAGGCCCTTCATTTATCATTATATGTGTGATCATGATCCCTTTTTTAATGGAGAAAATATTTTAATTGGGAAACAAAAATATATATACTGTAGATGGATATTTTAAGTAAGCTAGGATAAGTCCCAGAGCACTGAAATTTAGAGGACAGAAATGTAAAATAATAAATCAGATTTTTAACATTTATTCCATTAATTGTTGATAGCACACATAGTCTTTTAATATAGGGAAAATGAATTTAACACCTGATTAATACCTATTTTGTTAAAAAAGGAACCTACCAAATAGTGCTGATTGTTAATGASTATAATGGTATGTGATAAGTTATAAACTGATCTGAGGGCAATTTGCTATTTGCCTTGGCCACCAAAATTATTAATTTTAGCCTTGGTGGTACTTTAAAATATCTTCACGAAAGAAAGTTACTTGTGTTGAGCTTTCAGAATTAGTTAAGATTTAGACTTGTTAAGGTAGAGAGGACTATGACAAGCAGAGATTGGAACTTTAATGCGCGTAGTTAGCACATTTGTTTCTGTTATAGCTCAGGGTACATAGATTTTTGGAAAAGTGTGAAGAACAGATCATAGCAGGGCTTTAGTATGTGTTTAGTGGCTTTGAACAAATAAAGTGTATGTAAGTTTTAAAAATAGTGCAAAAAGACAGGGTTTATTGGGGGCAATGTAGGGTTTCCCATGTAGTTCTCATGGGGTAACTTTTTGTTGGTACATTTACCAGTCTAAGGTCTTACCTCCCAGTTTCTAGGCCTTCAGTCCAATATGTTAAGCATACCCTGTCTCAGTATGGACTCATCATACTCAAAGTCACAGAAACTGATGTTCTATTTAAGAATGTCTTTTTATTAATTTATGGTACAGATCTAATAGCTAAGTGGATTTGTTTCTAGCTAGGGCATTTTATAGATCCAAAGGGAAGTAAAAGAAAAAAGAAGGTTTTTGGTGATTATGAAACCAAATCACAGGCGGTCAGATATATGATGTAAAAATTTAACAGCATCAGCCTATATCAAGTAAATGCATCCATCTTCACGATGAGACAACCCTACCACTAGAACCCAATAAGTCCATGGATCAAGGTGTTCTTCCTCCAGGCAGTGCACAGATAACTCTTCCACCAGAGTACTCTCTCTCTCTTGTGTTCTAGGGCTAAAGCTTCTATCTCCTCCTCACTTCTTTCTTCAGTGCTTTCATGTATTGTCAAATTACAGACATGTCATTCTTACCTAGAAACCAGGTTTTCTTTAACATAATAACTCTCCTGTTTCTGATCCATCATGAATTGTAACTAATAGTGGTTTTATATGCTATATATTAAGCACTGTCAAAGCTTGGGTGGGTAAATGGGTAGGGATTGGGACTAAGACAACACTGGGCAGAGCTGCTCATCCAGCTGTAGTAGCAACAACAAAGGTGTTGAACTTCCTATATATTGACAACAATGTGGAGGCAGAAACTGTTGAATTTTAAGAAATAGTGAGTAGAGTACTGGTCTGAAGAAAGTAGGTCTGCATTGAGAAAGAGTTGACTTCACAGTTGAAGGTTAAGCTTATCAAAAGCTTGAAAATAAAAGACTTTGGTATAAGCCAATGATTTTCAAACATCTAATAATAGAAGGTTTTTCAACCAAACTGTAGCCCAAGTAAAAAGAAGATGAATTCCCTTTTAAATCATTATTGTATGATGGAAAATAGACCCATGAAGCACCTCTGCAAAGTTGGTCTAGTCCAATTTTATTGTGTAGAGACCCAAGAAAGTTGTAGAAATCATCCTTTTGTGGAACCTGAACTGAATTTTCCCTATTTCAATACAATTTTATAATACTAGTTTATATAGCCTTTTTGTTCACATTTTCTATACTTTACTCAATTTAGTACTCAATCAATGAAGAGTATAGAATACATATTGGCCTTATGAACTTTGGGAAATGTTTGTGCTTATTCTTAGAATTTACTTGTTTCAATCTTTGTACAGTGGTCTAAATCTCATTTGATACAGCAACCCTATATGGTAGGAATGTGGTAGTTATCCCCATTTTTACAAGTAAAGAAATAGGTTCAGAAAAGGAAAATGATTTACTCAAGAAGATATGACCTTTAAGTAGAAGATTTGGAACTAGAACCTGTCATGTGACTTTTTACCTTAGGCTTCTTATCACTGTAATAGATTTTATAAATTGAATATTCAATAAATGTTAGTGATATCATAACCGAGATTCAAGGACCTCATTAAACCATWTTGTTGGCTTTTGTAAAGCTAGAGGATATAAGATACTGTAGAATAAACTGTTCTGGATTTTTTTTTATTGGTTGTTCAAAACATTACAAAGCTCTTGACATATCATATTTCATACATTAGATTCAAGTGGGTTATGAACTCCCATTTTTACCCCAAATACAGATTGCAGATCACATCGGTTACACATCTACATTTTTACATAATGCCCTATTAGTAACTGTTGTATTCTGCTACCTTTCCTATCCTCTACTATCCCCCCTCCCCTCCCCTCCCATCTTCTCTCTCTACCCCATCTACTGTAATTCATTTCTCTCCTTGTTTATTTTCCCATTCCCCTCACAACCTCTTATATGTGATTTTGTATAACAATGA